AATGGATGCGCGTTTACACGGTGTGGCCTTGAGGGATGAAACTGCCGCGGCTAGGTCAAGCGTCGTCTCCTCCCTCCCTCCCTCCCTCCCTCCCCCGGGTGGTCACGTCATAATACTTTAAGCCAATTACAGCTAGCAGCAGAGGGGGGTAGGGATGCATGGCCAATCACAGTCCGATACGTCATATGACGTCAGTGATAACGCAACAAAGACACACACTGCACAACCTTACCGCGCCGCTTGCCCAAGCGGAGGGAGGAGGAGGGAGAGGCGAGAAGCACAGGCAGGCAGGCGGGCGGGTGGCGCGTGGGGCAAATCTAAAAATAGCGTCTCGAGCCGGACACTCACCGCGTATATGTGGAAAAAATCCGTGTTAAGTGAAAGTTCGCTTCTGGCGAGGCACTGCGTATATGGAAAAACGCGTTAAGTGAAACCGCGTTAGGCGGGGTAATACTGTATATACAGTACTATATTTCCTAACCTAACCTAAATCGGTTAATTCGGACAATCGGCTAAAACGGACACCCTCCCCCCCCCCCTCCTATTAGTCCGAATTAACGAGGGTTGACTGTATATCACTTGTGGGTTGATCGTCAATCTTTGCACTGTACAGTTGGTGTGAGGATGTTGATAAATCCAGATGGGAAGGAGGAGATGGGGAAGGGGAGGGCCCGACAGACCGGGCTGGCAGCTATCTCCATGGTCAAGAGACCACGGCCGCGTTAGCAGGCAGCGCCGACTACTGCACACACATCCTTACCCTATGAAGGCTGAAGGATGTGCGTATTATGTAATTTACTGTGTTATACAGTAATTTATATTCTAAAAGAAGATAAATTTGTATATCTTATATTTGTGAACTGTAACAACCATATGCAGTCATAATTTACAATGTTATACAGGTACAGTATACCACCAATATTCTGGAACTGACGGTCTGGCACTTGAAATTCCCGCGACTGCCAGACTAATTTACTGGGTGGCCACAGGTGGTGTTCAGTGTGGCACAAACTCACTTAATTATTTACACTGCAGTTGTTGGTGGTGATCCCTTGATTTTGTGCAATTCTTAGCTTATTTTGCTTACATTTAGCCTTTGGTATGGCTTCTAAGAAAGGTGTTTAATTAATAATCCTGTTTCATTGATGGTAATAAATTTGTATCATATATACGAATGTAATTCAATTAATCATTTAATTCACATTTAATTTACTTTTACTATTTGTTAAATTTAAGTTTCTAGCAGTCCATGGTGCTTCAGAGACACAGGAGGTGTATCATTAGTGGGTCAGAGGTGTATTGTTGAATTATTATTATGTGGCCTTGGTTTGTCCTTCAAAACGGATAATACGGCAAGGCTTTGGAACCAAGGGTGCCGGAAAATCTGTGGTGTACCTGTAGTCTAAAACTAAAAGGAGTGAAATTTGCATCACTTATATTTTGAACCTGTTTATTTAACAATTTTGTCAACTTAAACATCAGTATGTTTTCATGGAAATAAAGAACAGGTTTATTTTCATGCCTAAGTATATTCACAGCTGCCTACTTTCTCAAATTCACCTTCCTCGCCTTTTTGGCAGCAAACTCTGTTATCAGATCCTGATAATCCAAACTTGCTGCCAATTCCTTTTCGATGGAAATCATAGCCAGTCCACTCAACCTCTCTTGAGACATAGTCGTCCTTAGATAGTTTTTTATTAATTTAAGTTTGGAAAAACTTTGCTCTCCTGATTCAACTGTGACTGGAATTGTCAACAAAATCCTTTATGCAATTTCTGCATTTGGGAAGGAACCATCAAGAGATTTTAGAAACTGAAAAACTTAAGGTGCACTTTTTGTTTCTTTGGGAATGAGTTCTCAGAGAACCACCTCATGTCAGCACATGCACTGCCTAACTGTACTGGTGGTCTCCTGAATCTGGGTGGGAAGGTGAGGTCATCTTAACGCAGTCACTAATTCTGCCAAGTCAATTCAGTGACATTTTATAAGCGACAAACTTAAACTCCCTCTATATGACTGATAACTACGCACTGGGTAATCTCCCCGCCGTCTGGTCAATACTTCACCTCACCCCCCCGTTTTCCCCCCTGCCACTGGCTGTCAACACCTCAACTCCTTCCAACCAGGGTGAAGGTACAGTAGAACGTCGATTTAAAGCGATTCAATTTAAGATTATTGATTTAAAGTGACACCCACAATTAAGGACAATGTTTTAATTTAAAGCGAATCTTTCCTATTTTGCGCGAGTCAATCTGGTGCATCATATTTAAAATTTTGCGCCTAATGTTTCTCTGGGCACGTTACATTGTCCTAAGGGCAAAGCTGTACTGTACATGTACTCAAAATAATGTACTAAATGATTAAAAAAAATTGTCTAGTACAAACTATAGCATGTTTATACTCAAATTAATCACTATCGTATAAGAATTCCAGCAATGTAAATTATATTCTCCCCGGTCACTTCTATGACATTTTATAAGCAAAAAACTTAAACTCAAGCTAAAGGACATAAATAAAGAAATAAATACTTAACTAGACCTTCGGCGCCAACTGTCAAACATGTCACTGTCACTTCCCTCCCCCCTCCTCCTCCTCCCCTCCTCCCCTCCCCTCCCCTCCCCTCCCCTCCCAGCCAGGGTTTGGTGTTTTAGGCTTAAAGTTTTTATCTTATATAATGTCACAGACTAAAGTTAGGAGAATATAATTTGTATTGCTGGAATCCTTGCAAGACAGCGAATACTTTGAATATAACCTTCATATATTTTGAACAAGAGATAAAAAATTTTGCTCTTTGTACTAAAATTCTTAAATTAGAATTAAAATTTGTATGTCTAATGCGAGCTATAGCATGTTTATATTCAAATTAATCACTTATCTTATAGGAATTCCAGCAATGTTAATTATATTCTCCCATGTCAGTTTAGTGACATTTTATAAGAGAAGAACTTAAAGTCACTCTTAAGGACAGATAAATAAATAAGCACTAGACCAGGGGTGTCAAACATGCGGCCCGACACACTCTTGCATGAGGCCCATTTGCTGCTCCAGCCTTACCATGAGGAGCTAAAACTAAATAGTGAGTGTATCCCTCCTCTGAATAAAATAGTCCGCTGTTTCCTAGAACAATATACTCGATCATCATCACCACCAATGAGCTCCAGTGTGATTCTGTGTAGAGTAACAAGTTTTCGAGTGTTGATGTTGGCTCATTTTATCAATATTTTGGTCCAGATTATCCCAGGATTAAATGTTTTGCCTCAAAAATTATGTCAATGTTCGGAAGTACATATGTCTGTGAACAACTCTTTTCTGTGATGAACTTGAACAAGTCTCGGCTTCGGTCTCAACTTACTAATGTGCACCTTAATTCAATACTGAAGGTTACTACAGCTCAGTCGTTAGTGCCATACTTTGATGCACTGGTCCATACCAAGAGGTGCCAATTATCAGGAAGCAGCAGTAGCAAACAATAAGATTGATCAAGGTAAGTAAACACTTGATTTGTTTGTTTTTAAGGGTTTCGCACGAGCGCAGACTAAATCCACCTTTCTTATTTTGTCGTACTACTCACCTAAGAGGTGATTGCGAAGTGCTCATAGTTATGTTACTTGGCCCGCATACTGAGTACTCATTAAATCTGGCCCGCCTTGGCAAATGAGTTTGACACCCCTGCACTAGACCTTGGCACCAACTGTCAAACATATCACCTCACCTCCATCCCTCCCCCCCATCGTCCCAGCCAGTAAAGAGACCATTTCACATCCTTTAATTTTAGCTGTGTTGATTTATGAGTGTTTGTTTTAACATAATACTACAAAAAACAGTGTTTTGTTTATTCTAAGAGATGGGCTGAGGTGCATCTGGGTAGACTTTCAGTCTTTTTAGTATTTTGTGTTTCTCTCAAGTACCAAATAAATTATTCCATTGAAACAACACTTTGATTTGGTGCGAATTCGGTTTAAAGCGACCTCTCTTGGACGTATCTCTCGTTATATCGAAGTTCTACTGTAGTTTTAGGCTTAAAGTTTTTATCTTATAGAATGTCACAGACTAAACTTAGCAGAATACAACTTGCATTGCTGGAATCCTTGGAAGATAGTGAACAGTTTGAGTACTATATACTTTACATAGTTTGCAAAAGAGATAACAATTTTAGTTCTTTAATGTAGTACATTTGAATACAAAGTGAGTACAGCAATATATTGCCCAAAATCATGGCTTTTCCACAGGAAAAAGTCTGTATAACTAACCCCAGTGGTCAGGATAATATGTACTGTATTTTTTTTTTTTTTTTATAGTATATTCACCTGAAGTTTCGAACAATTAGCTTTTTCGGACAAGTGGTTCCCCCATTTAGTCCGGGTCCTCAAGGGTTCACTGCACAGGTACTGTAAAAGAAATAATTGCCCTAAGGGTAAAGACAAGTATAAATGTACCCCCCCTGGATCAATAAAGTTATTCCCGGATTTTGCAATTCGCTACCATTTTGAAAACCTAACCCCAGCGAATTTGAAGGGCATGCTGTACTACATGTGCTATTGACACCCAGTTGCTGGTACATTAAATTTTCAATTCTCACACAGTACAGTTTAAAAAAGCTTACCTTTTAGTTTATTTTTACTTAATAATGGTGCACAATTAAAAATATGAAACAAATTCAAGTTTAGTAACAACTAAATATTTTAAATTCTTAAGACAATATGAATGAAAAGTATTCTTGCAATAAACATACAGTACTTGTTTGATTTTGGGTACTGTGTATTTTAACTATTACGCACTCACGAAATGAGTAATAATGAGAAATTAAGTTAAATATGGTAAAAACTTCCCGGGAAGGTGTTTCCCTGGACCCTCAGCTCTTTTTTTTTTTTTTTCTCTCCAAGACCCAATCACATCTCTGAAATGTATTTTCATACTATTTTTTACTGTCATTTCAAAATTTTGACAGATTTTCTCTAAAAATAATGAGCTATAGAACACTAAACTTTTACCATTTGCAGAGTTACTTGGAAGCTATGACCAAGGAACATGAAGAACAGAAGGAAGTAGGTCAACTTCCCCTCCCTCTGGTAACCCTCTCTCAGATCTTGCCCACTGTTGCCAAGTCACAGGATGGTGTCATAACTGGAAAAATCTTACAAAAGCAGATAGATATGCTGCAGAAAACCCTCAACACAGCTAGAGAACATGTCTGCATTGCAAGGAATCCACAGTTTTCACGGCTCAACAGAATGTATGTATAGATTTTATTATTTGTAAACTTATTTTGGGAGTTAAATACTATTGAGAACTAAGAGGGATGAATTAAAGAACGAAATCCTTGCCATTATGATGTGGTATATCTCAACTTTAGCAAAGCCTTCGACAGAGTCCCCCACGAAAGACTAATAATATTAATAATAATAATAATAATACTGTAATAATAATACTGTAATAATAATAATAATAATAATAATAATACCGTAATAATAATAATAATAATAATAATAATACAGTTCAGTCTGGATTTACGCGGTTTTCGTTTACGCGTTTTGTCATTTACGTGGTGCCTTGCCAGAATTGAAATGCTTGATTTACGTGGCAAATTTGGTTATTTACACGGGAAGCGGCGTGGGCAGGGTGCGCACAAAGTCGCCCAGTCATTAAAACATTATCGAGTTCTTCACCCGCCACCCACCACAGCAGGCCCAAGTCAGTGATAGTGACAGTGACAGTGAGCATATGGACTTATATGTACTTTGAGGGGTTTGACAAAAAGGCCCTGCAAGCCTCTGTGGTGGATAGTGATACAATTGATACAAGTAATACAGGTCAGGGCCAATAATCTGCCCTCTGCCTCAGAACCAACCCCCCATCCCCGTGTGCCCAGCCATCTTTTCTACTAATGTAAGTGTTAAAAACCTAATATTATTGATATTTCTCTCAATTAATAATTTTGTGTGCATACCATCATAAAATTAAGATGTTATTTTGACTACAAGGTACGTATTGTGTCAGAAAAAGTGGAGTTTCGGGGTCGGTCCAGTCTCTATTTCAATTAATCCCATATGTTCTGTTATTTCATTTACGCGTTTCTCATTTTACGCGGTACTCTGCGGGTTCAATTGGCCGCGTAAATGAAGACCCAACTATAATAATAATAATGAAAATGATAATAATAATAAAAATAATAATAATAATAATAATAATAATAATAATAATAATAATAATTCATAGTGAATAAAATTTATAATAAAAAATACAAAATTAAAAATAAAATAAATTCATAATGATAATAACAACACTGTAATAATAATTATAATAAAGAAAAAAAAGATCAAAAGTGAGAAACAATATACTGGTATGTATGTTGTGTTGTCGAAGTAAGAGAAACAATTGAGATCCTGCAATTGTGTGAAAATGAGGAAGAATGTCAGATCAGCAACCTGGGACTTGGTCACAATTTTTTTGATGCCATATGGCAGCAGGGTCTACCATTAGACAATACATTATGCTTCCAATACCTTCCCAGGCAGTAGTACCTCCCTGTTTGGGAGCTGCCTACTACCTACTATTGCTGTATCTACACCAAAAATATGAGTTGAAAAATAACAGCAACACAGCTCCCAGTTGGTAAGAGTTTGAGAGATACCAGCATTGCACCCCCGTCCCCTTCTCGTGATTCAGGTGAGCAACACGCAAGCACGTGGGTCATTTCATCACCACCACCCCCAACACTTACCATCACCAACAAAACAATCACCATAATCACCACCAACACTCAGCATCACCATTAACATTCACCAACATTACCACCGCTCAACATCATCACCAACACTCCTCTTCCCTTCCCATGATTGCACAATAGCTACCACAAATGTATGAACTGTTTTTATTATCCATGTTCTTTACCTTATTGTATATATATATATATATATATATATATATATATATATATATATATATATATATATATATATATATATATATATATATATATATATATATATATATATATATATATATATATATATATATATATATATATATATATATATACAGTTAACCCTCACTTTACGCGGTTAATTTAACCCAGAGGGTACCGCAGAAAGCGAGAAACGCGTAAAGTGAATAACATAACATATGGGATTAATTGAAATGGAGTCCAGGCCGATCCCCAAACTCCACTTTTTGACGACACATAACTATGTTGTAGTAAAAATAACATCTTAATTTTATGATGGTATATGCACACAATTAATACTTAAGAGAAATAGAGAAGTACAGTCGCCAAGTTAATGTCCATTCAAATAATGGACACGACTCCCTCCCCCTCTCACACTACACTGCCGGCTCTTCCCTCTCTGAGAAATTTTGGGGGAAAACCAGGTATAGTAATAAATAATACCTCAAACTAAAGTTAGGATAATATAATTGACATTGCTGGATTCCTTGTAAGACCAGGAATATTTTGAATATAAATGTCATATATTTTTCACAAAAGATAACATACTTACTCAGATTAAACATTTTATCTAAAAATTTTATGTCTAATGCAAAATATATGATGTTTATGTTCAAAATGATCACCAAATTGTAAGAATTCCAGCAATGTAAATTATATTCTGGCCGGGTAATTTGTATGAATTTTATGAGCTAAAACAAATATCTTCAGTTAATAAAAAAAAAATATTCTTCACGACACTATCTGTCAATCAAAGTACCCCACCTTGCCTCCCCCCTCTTCCAACCGCGCGGTCAGTCCCAACCCTCCCCCCCACCCCCCACCAATCCTCCCTTCAAGAGATGTTGGGTGAAAAATTTAGATTTTAACATTTTGTATTAAATAATACCTCAGATTAAAGTTAGGATAATATAATTGACATTGCTGGATTCCTTGTAAGACCAGGAATATTTTGAATATAAACGTCATATATTTTGCACAAAAGATAACATACTTACTCAGATTAAACATTTTATCTAAAAATTTTATGTCTAATGCAAAATATATGATGTTTATATTCAAAATGATCACCAAATTGTAAGAATTCCAGCAATGTAAATTATATTCTGGCCGGGTAATTTGTATGAATTTTATGAGCTAAAATAAAAATCTTCAGTTAATAAAAAAAAAAATATTCTTCACACGGTAACAGATGGTCGGTCGCCGGTCCCTCCCTCCCTCCCCCCACCCCCACCAACGTCCCTACTAGATAAATGTGTGGGAATACCAGACTGTTTACCTTTTTAGTAATAAATAATAAATCAGACTAAAGTTAGGATAATATAATTGACATTGCTGGATTCCTTGTAAGACCAGGAATATTTTGAATATAAATATCATATATTTTGCACAAAAGATAACATATTTACTCAAGAGTAAACATTATATCTAAAATTTGTACGTGTTTTTCGAATCGTTTTCAGTTAAAAAATTATTACATCACTCGTAAATTTTACCTAAACTGCGCCTGAATGAATATATTTTCGGAAATAAATGGTAGTTTTGCTGAAACGTGATGTATTTCAATGTAAAATAGGATAAAATACATGACGAAAACAAAAGACTATACCTAAGCTTCCGATGTTCTTGAGATGTTACTCATTTTTTTAATAGTTTTCGGTTAAAATTCTGTTATATTACAATGATATGATATTCATACTGTGCTTGATATAATACATTCACGGAAATGTAATATTTTTGCTGAAATTACGTACGTATTACAGTGGAAAGTGGGATCAAATTGTGACGAAAACAATGACTTTCGCTTTCTTTCGTTCAAAAGATGTTACCGTAATCGCTTTTCGAATGGTTTAGTTAAGAAACTGTATTACAATAATATTCCCTCCTAATTGACTTGAATAAATATTTGAATGGAAATATACAATATTTTTGTTGAAACTACCCGCGTTTCAGTGTAAAGTGTCGTAATAATAAATGGTAAACAATTTGCCTTCGGCACTCGTGTTTCAGGCACGGTGAGCCTCAGTTTACAGGATGTAGTGTTTTTACTGAAGGTTTTGTTGTTCCATTACCCTCAAAAACGTGGGTCGAACTATAAACGAGGAATATCATGAATTAACGATTTCTTGGTCAAAAAATCAGGGTCGACCTATAAACGAAGGGAGGTTATAGACGAGTATATACGGTATGCTGTCACAGTTTGATTGCTCGTTTTAAAGTGGCGACCACGAGGTCGCTTGTTGTCGCTGTGCAGCTGTGGCGCTCACGCATGCGCACAATTACACACAAAAGCCCGCTAAAAAAAAAAAAAAAAAATTTCTTTTTTGAAAAGTCCGGATTCTCGGGTCCGGATTTCTGGCATCTGGATTTTTGGACTTTTACGGTATATATATATATATATATATATATATATATATATATATATATATATATATATATATATATATATATATATATATATATATATATATATATATATATATATATATATATATATATATATATATATATATATATATATATATATATATATATATATATATATATATATATCCACTTAAAGCGGTCAATAGAACCCAGAGGGTCCCGCGTTAAGTGAAATCCGCGTTAAGTGAACAACAGAACATATGGGATTAATTCCAATAGAAACCGGCCCGACCCCCAAACTCCACTTTTTGAAGACACATAACTATGTTGTAGTAAAAATAACATCTTAATTTTATGATGGTACATGCACACAATTAATACTTAAGAGAAAAGAGAAATACAGTCGCCAAGTTAATGTCCATTCAAATAATGGACTCAACTCCCTCCCCTCTTCTCACACTACACTGCGGCTCTTCCCTCTCTGAGAAATTTTTGGGGGAAAACCACTAAATTTTAATAAATAATACCTCAAACTAAAGTTAGGATAATACAATTGACATTGCTGGATTCCTTGTAAGACCAGGAATATTTTGAATATAAATGTCATATATTTTGCACAAAAGATAACATATTTACTCAAGAGTAAACATTACATCTAAAATTTGTATGTCTAATGCAAAATCTATGATGTTTATATTCAAAATGATCATCAAATTATAAGAATTCCAGCAATGTAAATTATATTCTGACCGGGTAATTTGTATGAATTTTATGAGCTAAAACAAATATCTTCAGTTAATAAAAAAAAAAATATTCTTCACACTGCAACAGATGGTCGGTCGGTCCCTCCCTCCCCTCCACCCCCCACCAACCGTCCCACCAGATGTGTGGGAAAACCAGAATATTTACCTTTTTAGTAATAAATATTACCTCAAACTAAAGTTAGGATAATATAATTGACATTGCTGGATTCCTTGTAAGCCCTGGAATATTTTGAATACAAATGTCATATATTTTGCACAAAAAATAACATATTTACTCAGAATAAACTTTATATCTAAAATTTGTATGTCTAATGCAAAATCTATGATGTTTATATTCAAAATGATCATCATATTGTAAGAATTCCAGCAATGTAAATTATATTCTGGCTGGGTAATTTGTATGAATTTTATGAGCTAAAACAGGCAGTCAGGCAGGGTGGGGGGTGGGGCGAATCTAAAAATAGCTCTCGAGCCGGACACTCACCGCATATAGGTGGAAAAAACCCGCGTTAAGTGAAAGTTCTGCTCAGGCGAGGCACCGCGTATACGGTAAAAAGCGCTAAGTGAAATCGCGTTAGGCGGGGTAATACTGTACAACATTTAACCCTTCAATATATATATGAGCAGTAAATAAGTGTTTCTTTCATATTTTTATGTAGAGTAATGACGATATGTTTTCACATGTGCACACTTACATACGCGCAGTCTCACTTTTTTTTTTACTATTAATGGTTAGCTACTTATATTGTTCCATTTATTAACATTATATAACATTACAGTTACTTCAAACAACCATATTAATGTTTTTACATTAATTTTACTACAGCTACAATCAGGGTCTTATTTTCTTCAGTTTTATATGTAGAACCAATCAATCACTGGTTTTGTAAGCTTTAACAAAAACAATGCCGGCAGTCGTCTCGTCTCCTCGTGTGTTTTAATATTCCACGTATTATTAATGAATTGTATTGTTAATTTTGCACACACAAACATTAATTCAATAAAAACAAATTCAGAAACATTAATTAAAATATATATGAGCAGTAAATAGGTGTTGCTTTCATATTCTTATGTAAAGTAATGACGATATGTTTTCACGTGTGCGCACTTACATACGCGATCTCTCTTTTTTTCTTTATCATTATCGTTAGCTACTTCTATTGTTCCATTTATTAACATTAAATAACATTACTTAAAACAACCATATTAATTTTACTACAGCTACAACTAGGGTCTTATTTTCTTCAGTTTTATATGCAGAACCAGTCAGTCACTGGTTTTGTAATCAACGAAAACAATGCTGTCTAATTTCCTCGTGTTTTAATATTCTACGTATTATTAATGAATTGTATTGCTCATTTTGCACACCCAAACATTAATTCAATGAAAAAGACTTTCAGTAATAAACAATAATGAATCTTTTGTACATAAGAGAAATGACGCTGTTTACACGATTGTGCACGCCGTCTGAACGTTGGTGGGCCGTTCAAACCCGTCGAAATTCGAGTTTCCGCCGTCAAAACTTTTAAATGTGTTTTTTTTTGTGTGTTCAAATAGAAAACGTCGAATTAAAAGCTCGCGAAATTTGAGAAGCTACTGTACGACATTTAACCCTTCATTATGTCTTCAAAGAGACCATGAAGCAGAGAAAGTGGTGCTCGTGCTTCCAAGCGTAAGCACAAGTCACTATCTATCTAGGAAAAGGGTGAATTTCCATGGTCCGGAAATTTCCATGGTCCGGCACCGGTCAGGTCCCGAGGTTGCCTGACTAGAGAGGTACAACCTGTATTATTATTATTATTTTTTTTTTTTATTCCTTACATTTACTGATATACTGTAGTATATATTATTATTATGTACAAACAATCGCTTCTACAAGCAAACCATCCTCTGGGTGATGTGACCTGTTCAACTGCATAGCCTGACAATCAAAGGGGATGGGCAGTACACATGGGTCGCATGTGTTATGCCATTCTGATATTGTATCATCATATCTCGGAATATTGTGCGTTATTGCACATCACTTTTTCATAGCAGTGACAATGCAGGAAAAGCATTCGGGCAGTGACCATCGTAAAACTAATCTTTAGCCATTGCATAGTGGTAAAGGGTGTTAATTTTTTTGCATCATTAAATTGATTGAGTGTATATTGATCCATTGTGTAACAGTCATTGCCTGTAATAATGTTTAGTGTTTATTAAAGCAGTTTTGGAACATTAATGCATATTTTTTGCCATTCAGAACATAACTAATTATTTCAATTTAATTCAATTAAACTACAACTTATGATATGATTACTCGCGATGTCTTGTGGTGCCTAACCCGCAAATTATTGTGACTCCACTGCAATTTATTAGTAGTAGGTAGCTACCAAACAGGGAAGTACTACTGCCTGGGAAGATATTGGAAGCATAATGTATTGTCTAATGGTAGACCCTGCTGCCATATGGCATCACAAAAATTGTGACCAATTCCCAGTTTGCTGATCTGACTTTCTGCCTAATTTACACACAGTTGCAGGGTCTTAATTGTTTCTCTTACCATTGACAACGCAACATACATGTATTGTTTCTCAATCTTGATCTTTTTTTTAATTTTTGTATTTCTTTATGGTTCTTTATTATTATTATTATTATTATTATTATTATTATTATTATTATTATTATTATTATTAATACATTTTCGTCCCCCCAGGCCCCGATGTGGGTCAGTGATCTGTGACCCGGTGAGCTAATCCCCGTAAAAAAAAAAACAGGAAGCACCACACTACCCTCATTAAAACACACACACACAGATGTGGCCAACCAATCACTTTGCTTCTTTTCAAGGAATGAGTATTCAGTGCAATGTAGAGAAAGATGGTTAATGTATTAAGGTGTGTCATGTTTGTACATCAGATTCAGATGATCTTTTCTTTGTGATTCCCTTCCCAGTTTACACTGTCTTCCCTTCTGTGATTCCTCCTCTTAATTTTAAAACTCAAGTGAACTTCTGGTTTGCTTCCCTACTCTTTTTCAGGAGTATACGTACTGTAGATGTTGGTTTTAGTGTTGAATTATCTTAGATTTCTTCCTTTTTAATTTGCTATTAGCAGATTTTACTTTTGTGTCTGGCCTGCACAGTAGGAATTTGGTTCATTAATTGAAAATTTCAGTTTCATTGTCATTGACAGTGTTGATATTGGATTATGGAAGCTGTCTGCCGTAACCCTTTAGAGGATGAGTTTCTCTCGGTTGAATAAATTTGTCTAGCATTAGCCACAATAAAAGAGCTAAGTGTGCCACTGCCTTCGATAGGGTTATGAACAATAGCTGGAAACAGAGGACTGGTCGTTTTTCAGCTAGAGCCTCCAGCCAGATGTCTCTGAAACCTTCCCTCTTCCCCTAAGTTCAGGAATAGTCAGCTGGAACTGAATGTGCAAGCAGTTAGCTGATTAATATTCTTTCAGACATGCACAGATTCAAAGATGTCAGAGCAGTCACCTAGGCATGATGCATGCTGATAAGGCAGTCACAAATTTAATGATGCCTTTGGCTGTTTTGGGCAACTGTTGAACCTATCCTCTTCATTTAAGGCTGTCAGTACTGGTGGAAGGGAAGGGTTATCCAGTAGATCAAAAGGTAAACCCTAGCCTAGCCTAGTCTAGCCTAGCACATTGTTTTGGGTGCCACCATGAAAAGAGATTTCAGCAGGAATATTCCTCCTATTATTTATTCTTAGTGGCAAAGCATTGAACTTCCTTGTTCACTGCATTTTCTTAACTGTTACATTTTAAAATTATAAGATTATCTATAAGTTATTGTTAAATATTTTTTATCTTCAAGGACAATGAATTGTGCTGTACTGGAGACTAGCCTCTTTGGCAATCCAGGAAGTCTTGGTGCCTTGCCTGTAACTTGGCTGGAAACAGAACTAGTAGAATGCTACACTGCCTTGGATCAAGAAGCATGGAAGTTCAAACAAAAGTTTATCAAGTTAATTATAAAACATGAGGAAAAGAAGAAGGTGAGTACTGTATATATTATGTATATTGTGCAACATATCTATTTTTATATCTTCATATACCTGTACAGTCTCTCCTCGACTTACGACGGGGTTCTGTCCAGACGACCAGGTCGTAAGTTGAAAAGGTGAAAATAATACAGTGATCCCTCGGTTAACGAATTACCTTCCATAAGAATCTTCAATTCGGTTAACGAACAAAAATTCGGTTAACAAAATTCTTACGAAATCACGTCAACATGTTTTTGCATGCTAACCAGCTGGAATATTAGTCCGCCAATACAGTAATCAGTTCTAGGGCTTAAATTCGTTCCAATTTGAGTAAATATCAAGAAGTGTGTACTATTCAATAATTCCAAGGTTTATATCAAAATTTTTAGTCATTTTAACACTTATTTAACATAATTGGAGTACAGGAAACTAGTTTTTGGTGCGCCAATCAGCCACTTGACTCACCCACCAAGGCGTCAGTTTGTATCTCTGGTCAGTGGAGGTAACATCTTGCTTGTGGCTCTCTTGAACATAAACTATTTTTACGTTTTTACAGTACAATTATTGGTCATTCTGAAATTTATTTAACATATTGACAATATATAGTGCAGTGCAGTGTTGATTTAAAGAAAATAAGCTTGAATTACACCTAGTGAACTTAAAATTTTATGTGTGAAATGACAGCATGAAGCATGGGGTGATTTCTCTTCCACCCCCACTTCCTTCTCTTCTCCCTTCTCCTCCACCCCCACTTCTAATTCCCATCATCATCATCATCAACCAGGAGCCTTCTACATACACACCTCAAAGTAAGTGTACTTTACTGCATTTTTTTTTACTTTGTATGTAATTTTTGGTGAGCTGGAACCAATTGTGTTTGTTAACCGAGGGACCACTGTACATAGAAATTCTACAATGAGTGTCTCTTTTTCTTCTCAGCACCACGAGAACTCTCACTTTTACTCTTGCCAGCCATTTTAAAGGGAATTACAAATGAAAATTTTGTCGGTATACAGCGCGATCACTAACGTTGGGACACCAAAATACGTAATTTGAAAAATATTTTATACGACCATGGCCATCGTATGTCTGGGTTGTCGTAAGTCAAATATGTCATAGGTCGAGGAGAGACTGTATATATATATACAGTCATCCCTTGGTTGTCACACCTAATTGGGACCACACCGAGTGCGTGATAACGAAAAACGCGATAACGAAAGTACAGAACCTATGGGATTTATTCTAATTGGTTCCAGGCACCTAGACCCAACCCCAATTTTCCCATTTTACGACCATTTAGACCCACTAAAGATATAGATAATGTTATGGTAAGTATCAGAAACACACATAGGCATGGCTAGGTTTATTATAAAGTGATGAAAAGAGTACACTCAATACTGTAGTCCACAAAACATGTAGCTATGCTTTCTTTATTTGAGTCCCCCATCTGAGGAGTCCGTTTTCTCATCGCTACAGGACGCCTGAGTCCTCCGTTTTCTCTCAATCTTAGAGTGCACCCGAGACTTCATTATTCCTTAGTAATGACACAGAATTTGAAATTGCAACTGGGGTTGCAATTGTTGAGGCAACTTAGATATGTCTGATTACAGCAAATGTGTTATTGTCAATTTGTAGGTGAAAGATTTTATCGTCAATAGATGTAGGTGAAGCAAGGGGGTAACAATACACCTGGAGGCAACTGCATGATTTCGATGGAGGCGTGACAACGAAAATCGCTATAACCAAGGGATGACTGTACAGCCATATGAGGATCTAACTTGGTAATACAAGTGGCTCTACATCCTTGATAATTACATGTAGTATGGTCCCCTTGGGTCCTGGGTGAAACTAATACTACTGACGGACATTCCCTTGCATGTAGTGTATGAGCTGAGCTCTCCAGTCCTTGTAGCTTCTCACTCAACACTAGTTCCCCAGGGACAGTTCCATGGTCTCCTCCATCATCTAGAAGTTCATCCTCCAGTTGCACATCACTCTTTTAAACTAGGAGGAACACCATGGGTCACATTGTATCATCATAATAATACAAGGGAGATAACATTTTCTCCCAAACATAAGCAATATGAATCTTAACTGTGATATTTAGTAAGTTATTTAATTTAATATCTCTTATTGTTATATGTCACCAATGTGACAATCATAATCAATTAACTCGCTGTATCACACACCTCTCCGTCTTCTTATCTCAATTATCCCTCAGCTCATGGAACTTTTTATTTTTTGGGGGGGGGGGGATCATTAAGTTTTGTATTTGTTGCCAATCAGGGTACTCAGACATCATCTCTTCAATTAATTAGCTTGACCAATAATTCCTGAGTGAGCATCAAGTCACCCAGCAGGCTTTGACAGTGCTGAGCTGCTACCTAACGCTCATTGGCTAACATCGTTCACTATTACTCTAGCAAGATGTATTAGGTTGAGAATTCCACCCTGAATGGTTCTCATATAACCCATATTAAGGATACAAGGTCCATCCCAACATATCTCTGGATTCCTAGTAAGACCGGAAGGTCAGCGTCCGGAAGGACCACTAAGACTAGCAGCCTCGCTAAAGTTCGCCTGGAAAGGCTGAACCCGCTATTGAGGATATGAATAATATAGAGTTGTGAAGAGAGAAACTTAACTCAGGCCTGCATGCTGAGATTAATTAGAAAACCCAGGGCGGAAGCCTGAAAGGTTTTGTGAATGAACATGAGAAGAGGGAGAGGGGATGGTATTGATACTTGCACTTGTATGATTGAGACAAAGAAAATTATATAAATATATATATATATATATATATATATATATATATATATATATATATATATATATATATATATGTTGTTACATATAATCAACAACCTCACCAGCAAGGTTCAAGTCTCATGTGTTATATGGACTATATATATATATATATATATATATATATATATATATATATATATATATATATATATATATATATATATATATATATATATATATTTATATATATATATATATATATATATATATATATATATATATATATATATATATATATATATATATATATATATATATATATATATATATATATACAGTTAGTCCTCCTCATTACGATTCTACAACAAAATTACATGAGGAAAGTGGCGGCGTAAAGTGAATAACATAACATATGGGATTAATTGAAATGGAGTGGGGCGATCCCCCAACTCCACTTTTGGCCGACCAACTATGTTGTAGTAAAATAATATCTTAACTTTATGATGGCATGCACAATTATTAAGTAAAATATCAATAATATGGGTTTTGTAACACTTACATTAGTAGAAAAGATGGCTGGGCACAGGGGACTAGGCGGTTGGTTCAGGCAGAGGGCAGATTATTGGCCCTCACCTGTATCACTTGTATCAAATGCTGTCACTATCACCACAGAGGCTTGGGCCTCTTTGTCCAAACCCCAAAGTTCATATAAGTCCATATCCTCACTATAATTATCACTATCATATGACTTGGGCGGCTGCAGTGGGTGGCGGGTGAAGAACTGGTCATGTTTTGATGACTAGGCGACCTTGTCGCGCACCATTTTGGCGCCTCTTACACAACATGGCCGGATGGCGGAGGTTTGGATCAAAAAAATGGCAGCTTGCCAGCATCTCCAGCGTAATAGGGTTCCGACCCGAGAATGTGAAAATCTTGGAGTTCTGGCAAGGCACACGTTAGCAGTGAAGCAGCAAATCTGGGACATATGAGGACCAACTGTAATGTGTATATATATATATATATATATATATATATATATATATATATATATATATATATATATATATATATATATATATATATATATATATATATATATATATATATATATATATATATATATATATATATATATATATATATATATATATATATATATATATATATATATATATATGAAACCACTTTAGCAGTCAATGAACCTGGCGGCCCGTAAAAGTGAAAGCGCGTGAAGTGAACAACACCAACATATGGGATTAATTGAAATAGAGCAGACCCCGACCCCAAACTCCACTTTTTCAAGACACAATACCTCGTTGTAGTAAAAATAACTTCTTAATTTATGATGGTATGCACACACAATTAATAATTGAGAGAAATATCAATAGTACAGATGGGCCCGACTTCAGACGGGGTTAGGGACCCAAATCCAGGTCGTAAGTCCGACATAGATAATTTTTTTTTTTTTTTTTTTAAATAATCTACAATGAAATACAGTACAGTAAAAGTAATGAATAATGAGGAATGGATGCATTACAGTAAATAATAAATAATTGGATGGTTATAGGTTGGTTCGAGGCAGGGAGCAGATTATTGGCCCTCTGTATCACTTGTATCGAATTAATCACACAGGGCTTACCAGGGCCTCTTTGTCAAACACCCTCAAAAGTCCATATAATCCATATCCTCACTATCATTATCACTGTCACTAACTTGGGCGGCTGTGATGGGTGAAGAACAAATAATGATTTTGATGACTGGGCGACCTTTGTGCTCGCCTGCCCGCCTCAAGCGTAAAAAGATACACACAGCGAAAGTGAGCATTCCGTGTTCGGCAAAGTACTGCGTGGCGGGAAGCGTAAAATGGGACGCAAAAGCGAGGTTGACTGTATATATATATATATATATATATATATATATATATATATATATATATATATATATATATATATATATATATATATATATATATATATATATATATATATATATATATATACATTAACAACAGTTATACCCTACTTATGATCAATAAAACCCAGAGGGTACCGTGGTAATGAAAAAACGTTAAGTGAACAACAGAACATATGGGATTAATTCCAATAGAAACTGGCCCATCCCCAAACTCCACTTTTCCGACACAATACCTATGTTCTGGTAAAATAACATCTTAATTTTATGATGGTACATGCACACAATTAATACAAGAGAAATAGAGAAATCATGCAGTAAGTTAATGTCCATTCAAATAATGGACTCGACAT